AATGACTTTGTTGTACATTGTATTCAGGAGACAAAGAGCCAACAGGTCGTCATTTACCATAGTTATGCTCAGTATGCTGGGAAGGGCAAAGATTTGACATATATGCTGAAAGGTAGACCGACTGAGATCAGTTTCTAGGTTGTATGAAGGAAGCAGCATTTAGTAACTACTAATAAAAATTGAAATAAATCCATGCCAATATTTTTATGACAATGTGTTTCAATCAATTCAGTCAATTACATGATAGAACCAGTCTGACTCTCTTGACTCTCATGGATAATATGTAATTATAGCTGTTAAGGGAAGTAACTCAAAAATAGAGATCGGTGCCGGTATGTCCTTGTCTTGTTTCTATATTTACATTTTTAGCTAAAATATCTAGAAGTCATAGGAAATGAAAATAGATAATATATATAAAACAAAAACCATATGAAATAAGTGAGTTTTGGAGAAATATTATGGCGAAAAATTATGTAGGTCCCTTTTATCAACATTTTACATAGGAAATGCATTGAGAATTGCAAAAACACTGATTTGACAAAATCTAAAAAAAAAAAAAAAAAAAAAAAAAAAAAAAAAAAAAAAAGTTGGCTTGGTAGGTTAAACAATCCAGAATGTAGTCTGTTTATTACAATTAAAACTACTCTCAAGAGTTCTTGAAAAATTCTATACGAGAAGTTGTCTAAGCAAGAACTCGAAAACGGTAAGACACCAAACTTATATGAGCAACAGTCCTTAAGATGTAGGCAAAACCATTTGGGTTCAGAGCGTCAGCCGTCACTTCCAGTCGTCACAGGAAGTGATAAAAGAAATAGAAAATTTCAACTTTTCTTTTTTTAATTAAAATTGCATCACTTTATTGCACCTTTTTCGCAGATTCGAAAGATGTTGGTCCCACCGGAAACAAAATCTACAATTTCCGGTTATATGAGATAAACTAAATAATTTGAGCATTTTACTTTCCCATAAATATTCTTTATAGATAAAGTATTTGAAATGAATTTTAAAATCAGAGTGCAAATGTCTAGAGTAACCTTGAAAACGTCAACTTCCGGTTTAAGGAAATAGCACGTTGGATTTTCACGCTGACGACCAGGGTTAAATTTCCTGAGTGTCTGAATTTCTTTTATCACTTTTTCAGCTTGAATTCTCGTTTTTATTTTCAGAATCGGACGGAAGACCTCTCATTGCTCGCAATGAGTTTCTAGTTGTTATTTTTCTTTTTTTTGTATGTGAATCTCGCGCAGTCGCATTGTACATATAGAGATTAGCAAGTATTTGATTTATTACAGTGAAACGTATTATAATAAATACAAACACGAGGCCTATATGACAACTGTAAACTGATAATATACGATTATACAAGTATCAAGTTCAATTTTTTTTGTTTAACAAAAGCTGTCTGTGTATAAACTAAATGCAACCTTTTGCTACGTTTTGCAAATGAAAATTTTATAAAATATTAACAAATATTGTAGTAAAATTGCACATGTAAATATACAGTGTATTTACTATGACCTTACACCCACCCGTTTCCAAGACTTCAGGTTGTTAAAAATCACAAAATACTGGAACTTAATCTTCACTTTTGTGAAAACTTCTAATTAAAATTAGATCCATTACACTCCTGTATTTTGTTATATGTCGCTGTAAGGATCTAATTTTAATCAGTTTAAAGCAATATGAGCTGCATTTTTTGAGAATTTTATTTTGCTGTTAAAATGTGATTTTATGATAAATCTGTATGTAACTTAAATCTTTCTGATCAATTAGACTAAAATAAAGTATTAAATTGTTTCAGAAATATTTCTGTAGAGTGGAATGTATAGCATTATATAAGAAAAAATTCATATTATACAGGACGACAATAATGTAATTTTGCTTTAATCAAAGCTTAAAATTAGTTCTTCCATTGCTAATATAAAAAATAAAAGGTATATAAAGTTTCTTTTTGCGTCATTGAAATAGTTAATTACAATATTGCAACTTAGATTTCCGACATCAAAATTGCAGCTCATATTGCTTTAATTGGATTGGTGAAAACTTACGGCGCAAATTGGAGCTCAGTAGCGACAATATTTCCAAAATCGCCCAATACGCTGAATGTGTAATATCTTCAACAATCACCGAAGTCGCGTGGCGCAGTGGTTAGAGCGTTTGCTCCAGAGTCGCGGAGTAAGGAGTTGATCCTTACGTCGCCGGTTCGAATCCCACTGTGGGACGTGGAGACCGGTCCTTTGGATGAGACCGTATAAACCGAGGTCCCTTGTCGCAGTAGGTGCTGGTCAGAATTTTGGAATCTTTATTAAATGAATTCAAATCTTCTTTTTTTCTGATTACCTAGGGTGTGTATGACCGTGACTTAAGAAGGCTGGGGGGTTGTGGCCATTTTCAGACTATATTGATCTTCTTTAGAAGAAGAGCTCCATATAAAGATATACAAAAATCATCAAATTTTAAAACTAAAATTTATGAAATTTTTCTTTGCCAAATGAAAGTTGGCAGCTTAAGATATCATATCTAAAAAATTAAGTTATATCTGATGGTTAATTTGTTGACCCCCCAGCCTCCTTAACATTATGCCTTATAAATTAAGGTCATATCACAATATCATATTGTGGTGAATAGGGGACACAATTTGGAAAGGGGGATATATCCTCCACCCCTCCACCCCCCCCACCCCAAAAAAGATTCTTGATCTTTCTTTCGTTTCGAAACTTTATGTAAATTAAAGTGTTTTTTTTTTTCCAGATTACCTCAAGACATTGAGTTATTTAATATGACATTTGGTGTCAAGCTCAGGTCCAGACTGTTTGGATACTGCGGCTTTGAAATGCTTCGAACTACAGATAACTACTGGTTATAACAGTTTCATATATACATGTACCATATGAATTCACAGTTAAAACAGGGTTGCAGTATATGGTCCCTTGAGTACATTACTTTTCCGTCATAAGACCCTTCCGGTGAAACCAGAATGGACTATAAATAGGTTTCCTCAGCGTCTGTCTGTCTGTTATATTTGGTAAAGGTAAAAGAAGTACTAATACTTCATTTAATTTTGAAGGTGTTCCATTGGAAATTGTTGAAAATTTTAAATATTTAGGAGTAACATTTAGTAAAAGTGGATCTTTCAATTTGAATATTAAGGAAATGTATGAAAAAGCTATAAAAGCATTGTATGGTGTTCTTAGAAAATGTGGAAAACATAATCTTTCAATCGATTGTAAATTAAATATGTTTGATAAAATAGTGAAACCAATTTTGTTATACGGTTGTGAAATATGGGGATTTTGTAATATCACTCTTGTTAAAAGACCCCATTTAATTTTGTAAACATATATTAAATCTTAGGGCTTCCACACCAAATTTTATGGTATATAGAGAACTTGGTAGATATCCTTTATCTATTAATGTCAAAACTCGTATGATTTCTTTGTGGGCAAAACTTGTTGTATCACAAGGTACTAAAATGTCATCAAAATTATTATGTGTTGAAAAATTATAATACTCCATGGTGCAATGCTGTTAAAAATATTTTGAATGATTGTGGACTTGCTTATGTATGGCAACAAAACTGTTAATATTACATGTACATGGTTAAAGAAAAAGGTGCAAAATGTTCTTGTAGATCAATTTAAACGATTGTGGTATAGTGACTTGTATATTTCACCAAAAAGTCTTAATTATAAATTGTTTTAAAAATCCATTAACTTTTGAGAAATACTTTTTGGATTTATACCTTCTAAACTTTCTATGAAATATTGTATTTTTAGAACTGGAAATGCTAGCTTCCAATTGAGACAGGAAGATGGTATAATATTGCAAGAGAAAACAGAATTTGTCACTTGTGTCCCTATAAGGAAATAGGAGATGATTTTCATTATTTATTTAAATGCAATGACCCATACATTACATGGCCGTAGGAACCGGGGGGGGGGGCACGGGGGGCCGTGCCCCCCCCCCATAATTTTGCCGATATACAGTTTACTATAGAAAACATAGCTACTATATGCTTGTGCCCCCTCAATTAAAACGTTTAATGACTTTTTTTTTTGCTTGTCAAAGAATTTTTGGTAGTTGATAGTGCCCGCTCAACTGATAATGTGTAGCTGTGCCCCCCCCCCCCCAACTGAAATTGCTCCCTACGAGCCTGCATTAAGAATCCTAGACTTAAATGTTTGCCCAAGTATTATTATACAAATCCTAATATTTTTAAGTTCGAACAATTATTATATTTAAACAGCAAAGATCAACTGATTAAATTGTGTAAATTTATTGGGATTATAATTGAGAGAGTTGGCTCTCTTGGTTTATGACACTGTTGTTTTTTCAATGTTTTTCTTTTTCTCACACATGCTTTATTGTAAATGTTTCATGTTTGTAATATCCTCTCTATACTGTTAGTTTATGGGATTACACTATTGTCTATTGTCTGTCTGTCTGTCCGTCTAGCTGCCCCTCTGTTAACATGATTATAATCTTCAAATGCTTTTAAGTACATATTTTATGCTACCATAAAAGGCAAAATAATTTTTAATACTACTGGATAACTAAAATCGAAGTAAAATATTTATAACATAGTCTGGTTCCCGTCCCGCCACTCCGTTTTCACTTCGTTTTGGGATCCCCAAAACGAAGTGAAAACGGAGTGGCGGGGGCTGGAACCATCCCCAAAACGAAGTGAAAACGGAGTGGTGGGGGCGGGAACCAGACTATTTATAACATCGAGGGAAATCCTGTGTTATTCATGGAAACATATCTTCCTGTTTGGAATTTTTGTCATCAACTGCATATGCTACATGTAGCTGACATTGATTAGTATTTCTACTAACGAGCGAGTTTTACTTTCTGTTTAACTTTTTTTGTTTGATTCTGTTGAGGGAGGTAAGTTCTATCGATCGAATCAAAATTAAAAGGAAAATATGCTTCTTTGCAAATTATGAGAATAGACATATTATTCATAAATCATTTTTGAATTAAGAGTGTCAGTGGAAAAAATGACAGATTCCCAGAAATGTAAGTTAACAATCGATATCGCTGCTTTCAATGCAATGTTGTTGTTTTTTTTAAATTGATTTGTAACACATTTTCTGCTTATTGACAAATACTGCTACAATTTTGTGACACTGCTATGAAAACATCTTACACTGCCTTCGTAAGCTTTGCTTGAATCAACAAATACAGATATATATGAAAAAAAATACTTCAGTTCTGTAGCTTCTGTAAAATGCAAATTTTGATTTAAAGAAATAATAATATTTCAGCTCGACTTCTCGATAAATTACTGTTTAAAATGACATTTAAAAAAGAACTACCTACGCAATGATCTATGCTTCTTTTCAAATAAACTGTATTTTCTAAAGTAAAACTAATTCTTTCGTGCCCCTTTTGTCTCGTAAAAATGGTATTGAATTACACGACCGAACTGTAGACTTCATTTTCTTTTCAAAAACACAATCAATCTAGGTTTTTCCTAAGTTATTAAATTCCGTAGTTTTTTGTGTACATAGACATACATTATACTTTATTTACATTCTAAAAATAGTTTTAGCGTAGTTAAACATATGCATGTTGAATCAAAGCAGGGTATCTCCTTCGACGTCGAATTTAACATAATGAAAAAATATTTTAAAAGATATGTCTTCCCATAAATTTTATTTAAAATAAAAAAATAGGTGTTATGACTATTTAATAGTCATAACATCAAACTTTCTATTTTAATAAAAAAAATTGTGGGAAGATAATATGTACAGTTTTTACTATAAACTAGACGTTGGGATATCCCATTCACAAATTATTCCCCTGGCCATCACTATATGCCCTTGGCTCCATGACCTTTGATTTTTTCAAAAGTGACATGAAACCAAGATAATGAAAACATATAGATATCCAGTGTTAAAATACTTGATTGGAATTAATTCAATACCTTTCATGTCACCTTTCTTTTGACATTGTGACAATATTCTCTTCTTGCTTCTTTAAAACTTCTCTCCCCCCCCCCTTTCTCTCTCTCTCTGTTGATGTAAAGTTAGCATTCTCTTAAATAAACAGAAAATCGCTTCCTTAAAAGTAGTTAATAAACTAGAATATATATATTTTTCTTTTAAATGTCAGTCTGTATTACTATATCTGTCTGCCTGTACTGAAGTTTTCTTTTTTAAAAACTGCATGCTTAATAAGAAATGTACTCACCTAAACTACTGTATTGGTTTAGTTTTATTCCATTTCATGCTTGTCTTCTTAACAAACCCTCGAACATTTTCTGAAAATGTCTTTCTTTATAAGGTGTCATTAAATTTGCTTTTATTGTACTTTTCTTTTATTTTCTCGGAAATAACATGTACAAATCCTATGAACGCTTTCATTATTTGTTTTAAGACTGTAAAACATTGTCATGGATAGTTTGCCATTTTTGAATTCTAATAAAACCAGGTTGATAGTTTTTCGCTTTGTTTGTTTGGTTTTGGAGGTATCTTTAAGACCTACCGGTATATTTGTTTGATTTCTTTTTTAAAATTTCTTTTGTGTTTGGGTGTGTATGTATGTGCTTTTACTTGTGTCGCCTGCAGAACGTACCTATACTTAAGGGTCACTTTGTTTGTCTCCCTCTCTGCCGAACCACTTTTGGCATAAATACTGCTTGGCACAAGGGCTTGTGTAATACTAGGATAAATGATGACCCTAAAGAAGATGGGTGAACAAGGCGTGCAGAATGCCTATAGCTTCAGATATTGAAAAAATCAAATTCAATTTGTGAATAAGTATTTAAAGTAAAGTTCTCAATATTGAAATTTATGAAATTAAGTTCAACAAAACTTTTCTGAGAAAAAAAAGATCTCGAAAAAGATTATTCTTTTATTAAAAAATAAAATGGTATTCGTGGGATTCGAACCCTAGCAATAAAAATCCGCAGTATCATATCGCTTTGAGGCTAACACGCTAACCACTACGCTACACAGCTCCTGACGAATTGTGGCATTTAAAACTTGTTTGTGATATGACCCTTGACTTAATGGACTTCAAGTATTTCTCGGAAAGATGCGAATGCTTTGCCATAAAACTGTACTTTTAAGGTATAGTGGGTCTTTGCTCCATGTTTTTGTAAAATAAAAAATGTCTATTTTAATGCAAACTTTCAAGAATAATTTTCAAAAAAATGGAGCGAAGACCCACTTTTATCGAAAAAATTTGTTAAAGTATGAGAAAATGGTCCTTTTCGTCCTCTTTAGTGTGTATATGCTATTTCATAGGCAAATAACTTCAGTCTTTGTGAGATTTTTGTAAATTGTAGGGATTTTACATAAAATATACTTTAATACTAGATGAAATATCAAAGAAAATTTTGATATAATTGAGAGTTTATTTTTCACTTCATGTTTGTCGCACTATAGGCACTTCGCCCGCCTTGTTCACCCATCTTCTTTGGCCTTCACTGATCCCTTCAAAATTAATATTTCATAATGATACAAATCATATATCAAAATCTACAAGGCTGTGATATTTAGCATGTGCAATAAACTTTCAAAAATGACCAATTGAACGTAGGTTGTCGACCTTGTGACCTTTGGTCATCATCTGAAATCTACTTACTGTTCGCCCTTAAAATTATTGTTATACCATTGTATATAATTGATATTTGGCATGGAGAAAGACCTTTATTCAAGAACTTGACTCACAGATCTTGACCTTGAGCCTTACCATTTGACTATTTTCCCTTGTTTAGTACCCAGGATATCGAGTTTTAAAGCATGTTAATGGACTTTTCAAAAAAGGACTAGGCAAATTTTGTCCTTTTCCTTTTCAAGCTTTCTTTTAGAAAAGTATGTTTCAATTTCCCTCACTTGTTGTAAGAAAGCTTTTATCATAACCTAAATGTTGCTGTTGAAGGCAACACAGGCGTTTCTTGTAAAACCTGCTTAAGTTTTGCGATGAAATACAACTGTGGATATCATGTTCCATTTAGTGTTCATAAAGCTACTTTTTTGGGGAAAATATTGATTCTAAAGAATGACATTTAGTTAACGATGGTTATTTTCTTATCGTAAAACTATTTTTTGAATAATGTCGATTCTAAAGAATGACATTTAGTTAACGATGATTATTTTTTTTTCAGATTTGACATCTTGGGATTTGAAAAGACTACAGGAAAAGTGTGAGAAATTTATAAAGACCTCGGGCTCTAATAAGTTTTTATCATAACCTAAATGTTGCTGTTGAAGGCAACGCAGGTGTTACTTGTAAAACCTGCCTAAGTTATGCGATGAAATAAACTGTGGATATCATGTTCCATTTAGTGTTCATAAAGCTACTTTTTTTTATGAAAATATTGATTTTAAAGATTGACATGTAGTTCACGATGGTTATTTTCTTTTCGTAACACTTTTTTTGGATAATATCGATTCTAAAGAATGACATTTAGTTAACGATGATTATTTTTTTTTCTCAGATTTGACATCTTGGGATTTGAAAAGACTACAGGACAAATGTGTGAATTTTATAAAGACCTCAGACTCTAATAAGTTTTTACGTCTCAGGTACATGTGGAGAGACAAACCTTTTCAATACTGGGAAAATATCTTTGATGTAGAAGATGGGGAAATGGTTCCTTACACCAAAGATTTTAATGGGGATCAAAAATCCGCCCTAAATGGAAACATTGACGGTCTGTTTTTTGGTTGCGGGCTATACAGCAAAAACGGAAAACCACCATGGTTCTCGTATTTTGGTAATCGTAGACTCTATATTTTGTCAACAGCCATTTTCAGGAAGTCCATGCGTCTGTATTTTGCCGACTTTTATTGTCATACAAAAAATCACTTTGCAACTTTGGTCCTTACAAAACCAAACTCTGAGCAAGATGAATTCTGTCGAGAACACAATCTACCGGCGTTAAATATAAATAATAATCCATTTCTGAAAATCCAAACAACAAATGGCGAGGATGAAGTTTTTGTTACAGTGGGCGTTAGAGTGGAAGTGTTGTATACAGAAACAATCGACCTGAATGAGGTTATCAGCAATGGGACTGGTCGATTTGTGTGGGTGAAACCACGTGGTCGTGGACAAAGTCGACCAAAAGGTATCCCGAAAAACCCGTCCTGTCAAATTTGCAACCTATAATTCCATTTAAAGGAAATTCCTGCTGTTCAAGATTATTTCAACTTGATTCTCCAATTTATTATTATTTTTTTTACTTAAATTAACAACTGTCCGAATCTTTAAAAAGATATAAGCAAATGCAATTAATTAATAAGTAAAACTGATAAGTCCTCCTACAAATTATTGCACTTTTGTCTCAAATCTCGTTATAGGTAATAGTTTTATGTAAGATGTAGTCATTTTCTGCTTGAAAAGCAGGGGTATTTAGTAATGGGGGTGCCCATCCATATGTCTGTCCGTCTGTTATGCTTGGGGGTACTCATTTCTTATCCGCAAACCATTCCAAACCACTGAATAAAATGAGACTTTTCACGGAATGTTTATTTCACAGTCCCATTGTGCACCTGATATTTTACGTTTTGTTGAGACAGATAATTGGAGTTTTTTGTAGCAAAACATGAACACTGCCATCCTTTTTCTTTCTATAATGTTGGGGGTACCAATCTCTTATCCGCAACTCATCCCATATCACCGAATACAATTTCATGAGACTTTCCACAGAATTTTTACTACATTATGCCATTGTGACCTACTAATTTACTTTGTGATCAGAAACATGTAGGGGCTTTCTTATAGCAAAACATGGACTTTGTCATCATACTTCAATATGGGAGCGGGGGTATCATTTTGGGAGCTAATTGCTCAAAGTACCTCTAGTTTTTAGCTCACCTGAGCCGAAGGCTCAAGTGAGCTTTTCTGATCAAAATTTGTCCGTTGTCTGTCGTCGTTGTCGTCGGCGTTGTTGTCGTTGTAAACTTTTCACAATTTCATCTTCTTCTCCAGAACTACTGGGCCAATTTCAACCAAACTTGGCACAGAGTATCCTTGGGTGAAGGGGATTCAAGTTTGTTCAAATGAAGGGCCATACCTTCTTCCAAGGGGAGATAATCATGAATTCATGAAAAATTAATGGCATCATTTAAAAATCTTCTTCTCAAGAACCACTGTGCTTGAAAATATGAAACTTATGTAGAAGCATCCTCAGGTAGTGTAGATTCAAGTTTGTTCAAATCATGACCCCCGGAGGTAGGGTGGGGCCACAATGGGCGATCAAAGTTTTACATAGGAACATATAGGAAAACTCTTTAAAAATCTTCTTCTCAAGAACAGCAAAGCCATGATTGGTCATATTTATATGGAAGCATCCTCAGTTAGTGTAGATTCAAGTTTGTTCAAATCATGACCCCCGGGGGTAGGGTGGGGCCACAATGGGCGATCAAAGTTTTACATAGGAATATATAGGAAAACTCTTTAAAAATCTTCTTCTCAAGAACAGCAAAGCCATGATTGGTCATATTTATATGGAAGCATCCTCAGATAGTGTAGATTCAAGTTTGTTCAAATCAATGCCCCCGGGGGTAGGGTGGGGCCACAATGGGCGATCAAAGTTTTACATAGGAACATATAGGAAAACTCTTTAAAAATCTTCTTCTCAAGAACAGCAAAGCCATGATTGGTCATATTTATATGGAAGCATCCTCAGTTAGTGTAGATTCAAGTTTGATCAAATCAATACCCCCGGGGGTAGGGTGGGGCCTCAATGGGCGATCAAAGTTTTACATAGAAATATGTAGGAAAATTCTTTAAAAATCTTCTTCTCAAGAACAACAAAGCCATGAATGGTTATATTTATATGGAAGCATCCTCAGGTAGTGTAGATTCAAGTTTATTCCAATCATGACACCCGGGGGTAGGGTGGGGCCACAATGGACGATCCAAGTTTTAAATAAGAATACATAGGAAAAATCTGTAAAAATCTTGTTCACAAGAACAACAAAGCCATGATTGGTCATATTTACATGGAAGCATCCTCAAGTAGTGCAGGTTCAAGTTTGTTCCAATCATCACCCCGAGGGTAAGGTGGAGCCACAATGGGTGATTAAAGTTTTACATAAAATACATAGGAAAAATTTGTAAAAATCTTTTTCTCAAGAACAACAAAGCCATGATTGTTTTTTTTATGGGTGCATCCTCAGGTAGTGTAGATTCAAGTTTGTTTAAATCATGCCCCCCAGGGGTAGGGTGGAGCCACAATGGGCGATCAAAGTTTTACATAGCTATACATAGGAAAAAGCAAGCCTTTTAAAATCTTCTTCTGAAGAACAGCAAAGCAATAATTAGTCATATTTAAATACAAGCATCCTCAGGTAATGTAGATTCAAATTTTGTTCAAATCATGACCCCCAAGGAGAATAGAGGGGCCATGACAGGGGATCATAGTTATACAAAGGAATACAAATGATATATCAATAAAAATTGTCTTCCTAAGAACAGCATAGCCATTATTTGTCATATTAATTCAAAAGCATCCCTTTGAAGTATAGATTCAAGTTCAAATTAACCCCCCCCCCCCCTCGAACCACTTTTATATCAAAACTTTTCAAGACTGAACTGATTTCTGCTTTTTCCTAGCCAGAGTGCTCAGGTGAGCGATGTGGCCCTTGGGCCTCTTGTACAATATATGTTTTATTGTGAAACTTCAGATTTGTTGATTCAAATGAATTCCAACTAGCATGGGACATGTAGATTTTGTGACTATCAAGTAATTAATGATGACTTCTACTAGGTCAACTCTGTTGTGTACAAAATGTAATTTACAGGTAAGTATGGAAAGAGGGGGTCAATGGCCAGCCCGTAAAGGGAGGTAAACCTACCTCTTTCAGAAAAAAAAAATATTGGAGAAAATGCTCTTAAATGAAAACACATGATACTACTACACTTAGAATTTAAAAAACTGAAGGGAAAAAAACTCCTTTAATTTTTCAATAAAATTCTTTGAATCTGAGGTTCTGGTATTGTAATTATATAGTCAAAATAAACATCATTATATTGTCAATTATTATTGAACAATTAAAACATAAGGCAAAATATTTTGTGTATAGCAAAACCTGAAAAAAAACTTTTTTTCTCATTCATTTACACATAATCTTTCCCTTTTTCGTTTTTCATTGGGAAAGGTTATCTATATTGATTGATTATATTTTTTTAAATGACCAACTTAAGACACGTGTGCATATTATCACTGGATTTTCATGTGAGCAGTACTTAAATTTTTCCATGCTGTTTACTTTTCATTGTTTATTGTGGTTTGCAATTTTTAACTTCAGATTTAATTTAAGCTTGAAGAGTCTTGAGGTCATAAAAGAAACAATAGTATGAACATGTCTCAAGCCTTTATACTTCTAGGTATAAATACACATTTGGTCAGTGATATTGAAATTCAGGCATCCCCATATAGTGTGGATTTCATTCACTTAGTACAATATAAGATCATAATATTTCATGTCAGGAAAGATAAAAAAAGTTTTTTTTAAATTTGAAGAGCTGGTCCAAGATGGCTCAGGTGAGCGATGTGGCCCATGGGCCTCTTGTTTTTTTTATTGGCAACGTCATCTAATAGTTAATGTTATATATATTGCTTTATCATCAGTGCCATGGGTTTGGTTTAAGTCACGAAATAGATTGTTTAAATCATGATATATGTTATCTGCATAGACATGTTTTTATATAATGTTATCAATGTTATGTATCCTTTGTTACATGTATACTCATTAAACGTACTGTTATTCTAAACAAATCGGAGAACTTCTTTGTCTCTTGATGAAAACTCAGGTTGGTCCAATGCCAGTTTTTACTTCTTTAAAATTTTATTTTACTATGTATATTTTAAAAATCCAAGATACTAAGTTGAAAATTTTAGTTATCATCTTTGAAAATCGAAATTCTATGTAGAACATCCAAAACTATCTTGTATATTTAGTATATCCGTAACAACTTTGTATCTGGAAATTTTTTTAAAAAGATGCTATTTTTGAGATAGTTTCTTGAATTTCAAGAAAAGTATCTTCATTTTTTTTGTCTTAAATTTGTAAGGTTCAAAATTAATCGACTTAGGTCACATAAAAAATCTGAACATACACTATAATGAACTTCGATCGCACATCGCAGATCAATGTTGTGTAGATGCTATCGACTGCAAGTGATGTTTTTTTATTTGGTCAAAGAAATGGTTAACAGGACATGCCACTTACCTATGTCAACATGTCACTCATCTATATCGACAAGTCACTTGTCGATATCAACATGTCACTCATATATGTCGACGTGTTACTCATCTATGCCAACATGCCACTTATTTATGACGACATAGAACTTGCCCTCGCCGAGATGACTCTTACTTTATGCTCCTCATCTTTGTGAACATGTCACATATCTATGTCTACACACAACTTATGTGTGCTGAATTACCATTAATCCATGCAAAGTCACGTATATATGTCGACATGTCATTAATCTATGTCGATATGACACTTATCTATGTCGACATGCCACTTATATCTGTTGATATGACATACTTCTTATCTATGTTAATATGCCACCACTCTATTTTGACATGCTACTGATCTATGTTGATATGCGACTTACCTATGCCAATATGTCAATTATCTTTGCCTTTCCACTTATCTATGTCGACATGCCAATAATCTATGTTGATATGTCACCCATGTATGCAAAGATGTCACTCATCGATATCCACATTCTACTGATCTATGTTGACATGCCACCTATTTATGTCAACATCCACTTATCTATCTCAGCATATTTTTGTCAGGATGCCTCTCATCTATGTCGACATCTACTGATCTTTATTGATATGCCACCTATATATGTCTATATGCCTTTTATCTATGTTTACATGTCATTAATCTGTCGACACATCACTTACCAGTAACTTTGAAAATTAACCATCCTTTCGGTAAAATCAAAGGAAAATTAGAATATGGTTGGTATGAGGGCTTAATGCTTCGTCATACACAACTTGAAATTAGCAAGCCTGAAGCAAGAGTATTGATGTTAAACAAGCCTGTCGTGACGTTTTTACTTCCAATTGCTTGAAAATACCATAAATAAGTTGAAGCTATTTGACAAAGGTTTTCAAATTTACAATGTTGATGAGAGTGGAATTAACATTGTGCACACACCAGCAAAGA